GCCACTAATTTTTCATGTTGCAAGTCAGATCTTTAGCAATAATTTCTCAGGGAAATCTTCAACTCAACCATAACTCCATACACATTAATCAAAAATCTTTCAGATGAACATCAAACTTCACTTTATTATCCTATTCCGCACAATATGCAGGTTGGTTTTTAATGTTTCTTAAAAATTGTCCACCGCCCATAATAAAAGAGAATTCATTTATTGTTAGTTCTGGAAATCTGCACAAAGATGTAGCTTTTAGCCTCCCCATCATTTAATCATGCATATTCCTTTTGACTTTTGACCACTATGTCTTATGGTTTGCCAGTTTAACAGAAGGTACACTAAAAGTGAGCCAAATAAACCAGCTTTATGCTTTAATCTTTCAAAAATAGCAAATTAAGATGTATAAGGACTCATGTAATGCCTTCATCAAATATTGTTTTTTTTTTACTTAGTAATCCAAAAATATCAAATAAAACTTTGGTCTTTTAATCTAAGAAAACTGATAAGAACTTTTTATATTGGTCAAGCAACCAAAATATGCAGAAGAAAAAACACATCTTCCTTTTCCTGTCCTTACCATTCTCTCTATAGAGAGAATTGAAAGCATCATGTCATATTGTATTACTGTTTGGTTTGGCAGTATTACTATTTTGGACAGGAAGGCTCTGCATAGAATGATGAGGACAGCAGAAAATATTATTGGAAGTTCACTTCTTTCTATCCAGGACATGCATCTAAGTACTGCTTGTCCACAGTATTGTCATGAATACTATACATCCTTTCCAAGACTGGGTTTTCTTTGTTATGTTCTGGGAGGAAGCTTTGCAGTTATCTGAAGCAGAACATTCAGATTCTGTAAAAGTACCATATAACATCAACCTTATTAAGACTTTTTTTTCTGCTTTGTATTCTAAATGGGCTGTGATTAATATGTATGTATGTATGTATGCATGTATATGTATGTATGTACACACACACACACACACACACACACACACACACACAAACACAAACACATTTTCTTTTAAGAGTGGGCATGAAAATGTTATTTTTAATGTGTGCCAGTGTGCGCACAGAAAAAGTAATAATAAAAATTACCTTATCTTAAAGGAAGTTCATGCACCAATGTTGCAAGTTAATGTCTATAATGCAAAACATCACTGCTCATTAAATGATTATCTATATCATGCATCTGCTTAATAAATGAAAGGATATTAAAAATTGTTGGAATAACTAGATTGGGCCTTTCTTTACTTCTGTCACCAAAAGAAATAGAGAATTCCCTGTGCTGTGTGGAATATTCAGATCTACTGTTATCTCCTTACTCCAAATCCTCACAATCATTTTAGAGTAAAAATGCAGCTATGCTTTGATAAAATATATATTTAGAGATATCTCACCAAAATATTTAAATTTAATATAGTTTTTTAATAAATAGAAGAAAGAGAAATTCTATAGGTGTATCTGTATGTCTCTCTCTCTCTCTCTCTCTCTCTCTCTCTCTGTGTGTGTGTGTGTGTGTGTGTGTGTGTGTGTGTGTGTGTGTGTGT